GAGCCTCTTTAATTGTCTTTATTATTTGAATTAAATAAAAAAACAGCTCGTGTGCCGAGGGTTGCATATAGCAAGCTGGGTAATGCTAATAGGCCTCCTTCTCTTTAAGAGAGGCATTACAAAATTATGGAAATGTTTCGGAAAGACTTTATTTCTCCTACCGGGCTAATTAGAAGGCGGTTAATTTACCCCTTCTCCAGTTCCCTGCCTCAGTTTCCACCACTCGTTGCTCCGACCGGCTGCGCAGAGCCCAACGTTTACCCAGCCCCTTCAGTTTCCCCAGCCTCCAGCACGTGACGTGCAGGCGCACCTTTTCCCAGCTCCACCAAGCCTCCTGCGTGCCAGGCTGCCTCTTCCACCGCAAGCGGTTTTGGACGCGGCTACGTTTCAGCCCATGGTGAGCTTCACAATTCAATGTCACATACAATGGGGGGGAAGAATGCAAACCATATTTCTAATCCTCGAAACAAGAAGATCTGATTGGCAGGGAACACAAAATAGAGATTGAAGGCGCTGCAACACTTCTGACGCTTCCCCCGAACAATCACGCCGAAGCAGAGGAAAACTTTCTATCCTGCTTCTGTGCTCCAAGTGAACTCGTATTTGTGTTTCCAATAAAGAGCCATTTTTATATTAACTGTCTGTAACAGCAGGGAATAGGAAAACTAACACAAGCTGTACCTCATACAAAGGACGATGCTGGCGTCACGTGTTTGCGTCTTCAAAAAATGTTATTTACAAAAGGCACTGGGGAAAGCAGACAAACTATTGACTCTTTTCTCTATCCCCGCACGGGTGGCGTTACAACAACTTTTTGATCCCCCACATTTTTTACATTTTTCCCCCCCGAGAAGTAAATTTCACAGCCACACAGGCCACTGCGTTTAATTAAGCTTTCAAAAGTCTTCTGACAATGCCAACAATTGAAAGACACTTCTGCAGCTCAATCATGCAATCATCGTGACACTTCTATTTACAATTTGTCTTAGAAAGAGTTTCTCTGACATTGTACTTTGACAAAACATCCAAGCTGCCAGTTCACAACCTTTCCCTGTCTTATTTACAAATACAGCTTGTACGCAGGACCCGAATCTCACGAGCATGAGCCTTTGGGTAGCACCCTCGCGATTTTTCCTGCAGGGAACTGCTGAACCCAGCCTACCTTCCCCAGGCTTCCCTGCATGGCGAGAGCAAACCGAATTTTACTCAGAAATACTGCCATTTTCATTTTTCCCCCCGTAAACGTAATTCAAGCTTGCGTCTCATTGTCTAGACACACCTCTAACTATTCAGTTCAGGTGTCAATGAATTTTTATCCGGAAGAAAACAAAGGAAGGAACTGCAATTTGCAAGCTACAGAATGGTAACGGCGACGACTAATAACAATCCCAGAAAATGTCTGTGGCATAATGACTGGTCACAGACATCACCGCCTGAGCACCGCAATAATCACTTGGTCCAAAATTTAGCAGCAAATTATGTCCACTTTCCCTTTGATTATTACAGAGAGGTATTCCTCACGTTATTTTCCCATGTTATTATATTTGACTACAACAAGCTGCTTGAGAATAAAGGATCCCCACGCTAAAAATGACCTCCCCTCCTCCTCCCCCTTTGCACAGTAAATACGGCCTTGGAGGATCCCCAGCCATCGCTGCGAGCGGGTGGGCGCAGCGCTCCAAAGTGCTCCAACTGCAGCCAAGTAGCGCTTAAGATCCTCCCTCACCCAAAAAATAGCCTTTCATTAATTCCCTCAGATTTATACATTCAACAAACAAAACAGTAAAACCTGACGCCGGTGGACTGTAAATATTTCTTCGGCTTTTTCAATAAGTGAACAGCAATTTTACATTCACTGATCTCTAGATACTTCAGTTAATATTTCCCCCTATTGTAAAATACGAGACCGGATCAGTAAACCCCTGCCGTAGCACTCGCTGCAAATCACAGACTGCTGGTATCTGGTGGTGAGTGTTTGACATACATATTGATGAAAGCTGCCTCGTCGGACCCACACAACATATCCTATTAATTTCCAGTTAAATTTATGACATTTCAGCCGTGGCGCTGGATCAGCATCACTCAAAATTTTATATCGCGTCAAAGCTGCGCGCAGGCACCCGCCCACCCAGAGCCAGGTATCCTCCACGCCGGCCTGCGCGCAGCTCAGCTGGTACCGATATTGCCCCTGCCTCTGCCTTCAGAAACCGGCAAGGACCAAGATAAGCCCATCGACGTTAAAACAGACATCATTTCTCCCTGCATCTGAATGACTCAGTGCCCTGTTCCTTCAGATGAGCTGCTCTTTAACCATTACTTATCTGGAGATGATCTCTTACCGTAAGGCACCAACTTACTGACTGCAAATGTGCCGGCAGAGCCCACACTGCATCCACAGCTAACCTCCAACCCCTCGTGCAGAGCACCAACTAATTGGGTACATTTTTACGTTGCAACTAAATACACGGCTTCTGGTCTCTCACCCCAGACGATCAGCTCACTCAGTTCCCAGGTATTTTTCCCAAGGCATTGTCTTTCCCTTTTTATTTTAATTTTTAATTTTCCCTTATACGCTCAGCTACCTTCCTGCATTTTGCACGCCTGCACAGAAGAGCAGGTATGAAATAGCAGAACTGGGAAGTGCCTCATCCAGGGGCCTTCCGGCAGCCTGAACTCCACGGCTTCCCCCGAGACCTTCACGTTTCACTCCTGGGCCCAGGCCGGCAGCGAGCAGAGGGGGCAAATCCGGCCGGCGACGAGCCAGACACCACCGGGACAAGCACAAGGGGGCAGGATCAGGCCCCACACCTCTCTTTACATGCTGCGACCGCTGCTGCGAAGCTTCTTCTGAGTCAACGGCCCCGTGGCAGCACGAGGCCAGATCCTGCTCGGGCTGCCTGCCTCGCCTCGCCTCAGAGCCTGAGCCGGGCAGGGTTTGGCCGCGTCTCCAGCGCTGAAGCGCCGGAGTCAGGTCCTCAGCCGAGGAGTTCCCCCTCGTGAACACGTCCCCGGCTCGCAGACTGAATGACCTATTTGGGACCACGGTGCGAGGAGTGCTCCTAATTCTTGCTTGACAGATACTGTGTTTTGTCTTTTAAGCAGAGCGGTTCGATATGTAAATACAGCGTTACATCACGCCGCCGCTCCTCCATATTTGGTGATTTAGTATGGCTCCAGATCTCGGAAGACTACAAATCCCTTCCGCCAGGCTCCCGCTTCATTAATCATGCCCTACACTTGTGTTCGTTCATCTGCACATCACAGGCAGCACATCGCAATGGGCACTGCCCTGCACCACGCCAGGAAAATAACCCTCTGCCAGCATGGCCTGCAAGTTGAATACACCAACTTTTTTAAAAAAATATTTTTTAAAATCTGTTTTAAAATGTAGCTTATCAGTAGCTGAGCCTCTGTTTCTTTCTAAACCTGGATATAAACATATATACATATAGAGATATATACGTATGTATGTATATAAGGTATACATATACACACACCGACCGATACATGCTTTCGAAGTGCCATCTATTACTCCGCAGAAACAGTACCTATTCATTCACGTTATGTACGCGTGGGTATGCACGTGGCTTTGCATATGTATGCGTGTGTACAGACAGACGCTCGCACGTCTTTGCTGCTACCGCAAAACCTTGCAAAACACAAACCCCGAGCGTGATTTAATGGCTGGTTGGGAGGCTAGGAAGGCTGCGAGAATATCACAGTGAAACTCCCAGCGTCTACTGCCCTATTATGGTTTAACTTTGTGGCCAAAGCAAGCCCAAGACAAGCTCCAGCACATCATGTGATTATGTACTGCACTTCTGACAGCACCGCGCTGTCCTGTGGCCTCTTGTCACAGAGGTACAGGCAGTGCCGAGTCCCAAACGTCGCGGGCTGTTTTAGGAAACTGGTCCAGGCATTTGCTGCTTTTGATATCCCGCAGCCTCGCATTTTTCAGATGGTATTATTAGCGCGATTTGAAGCAATTTGCAATGCTCACTCCGAATGGGCAGTGTTCTTGTTTACTAACGGGATTTTAAAGCAGAGTACGCCTCGTTAGACTGCCAGTGCTCTGTGATTTTCTTTCGCGTCGTACGTTCTATTTTTTCAACCTCATTTGCAAAATATTTGCACAGCGAATGGCTTTCCGGTTTTAAAAAAAATATGCTAAGAAATGGAATTATTTACCTTTTTTTTAAAAAAAAAAAATTGCATTTCAGACTGTTTGTTGCACAAAACAGAACTCTGCCTTGGACATTTGTACGGATGACATGTGGTTGTGTAAACCACAAACAAAATCAAGATACATCTGTCAAAACCACATCAGAGACAAGAGAGAGCACAGAGAAGCATTTATCATTTGGCTGAGGAGGCAGGCTGCAGAGAGCAGCCTTTCCTGTCAAACCAACCTTTTGAAATTTCCAACATGCCCTTAAACTTTTCGAATAAGCATGTCTGTGCGCTTCAGCAACTGCCCTCTCTACTCTGGCCTGGCCAGTCGAAAATGGCATCTTAAAGTCAAGGTCGGTGGTGTCACTTTGCCATGGGGCTGTGTTTAATTACAGTCCATACGCTGACAGCCAATATGGAACCAAGGCTGGCTGATGCTCAGTTAACTCTTTCACCCCTGAGTTTACCCAAGACTTGAAAGCTCCTTCCCTGCTCCTGCAGCAGGGCCTGAAATCTCCTCCCGCAGCGCTACGGCAGACAAGGCGCCGGGAGACAGTGACTACAATACAGACAAATCACGAGAGCAGCCTCACACAATACCATTAAAAATACTCGGTCGCACGGCACGTGCCTGTTGCTCCTGCCTCTACGCAGCTGCTAGGAAATACCGGTCGCGTGCTCGTCGCAAACCGAAGGCAGGGCATTTAGCACGTCAGCCGCCGTGGCAAACACAAGAGAGAGCCGGGCGCAGCGGTTTGCGACTGCGAACGCGCTACGTTGCGACTGAAACAGAAATAAACTCGCAAACACTTCTCCTCGTTTTAATTTACCTGCTATATGTTCCTGTTTTGGGCAAATTCCTCTAGATGACGTTGATAAACAATCGTCATCCTCTGGCGTAACCTGGATGCCAACCTCCACGGGATTGGATGCTTTTTTCAGCTCACTTGGTGAGGGTGAAGGTGGCTTATCCACAGCCTTCTCTAAGCAGAGACTGCCATTGCATTGTTTCCGTTTGTGCTCAATAAAAATAAGAATGTCCCCCAACGGGAAGTTCATCTGACACTGGCCACAAGTGAGGAGGTCGTGGTCCCCTTCTGGAGCTCCCAACGTGCCATGGTCAGGTTCGTCATCAGTGAGAATGGCTTCAAGAGGTTCGGCTGCAGTTTGAGAAACAAAAGGAGAATCGTTAGAGCTCCGGTGGAAAGCGCTGGGCACAGGGGGGGGCACACGCTGAACCCCGAGTCGCAAATGTCACACGGCAGCAGCGACGTCCGCGTGTGCCCCCCCCAAAGAGACCGACGCCACACGGCCACTATCCCCACCATGAGAAGACAAATTTATCAGCTACGAGGACTGTATTTTGCAGGAGCAGCTGTAGCATGCAGAACTGGGAGAGCAAACCCTGCAACTGTAACTGTGCTCATAGAGGAGGAGAGATTTCCGACTCGATTTAACGATTTAGTGGTAAAATCAAATGAATAGCCTTCAAGAATATACTGCAAAACTGCGGTGGTGCTAGGAAGAAAAAGCGAATGCCGTGTTTTATTGTCGGATGTATTATTTATGTATATGAATCCAAGGCTGAAAGCATTACACTCACTCTCCCTCTCACATGGGTGTGTATTTCCACCAGCCAGACCTACTTGCTCAAATTTAGGCTCGTGAACCACGCGTGTGCATGTGCAGACAAAAGGTGTTTCAACACACAGCTTGCATATTCAACGTACAGGCAGCGTGTGAGCGCCCGTGTGCAGAAGCAAGGGAGGAGAGGGGGAATGGATGGAGGCACGCACACGCGCAGGCACACCGCGCACGCATGGCCCTCTCCGTGCACGTGTACATGCGTATGTGGGTACGCGTTTGTGTCATACCCACATTTGTGGCTTCCAATTTACACATTCAAAAGGCAGGAGTTACTCGCGGGGGGAAGGGGAGGAGGGAGAAAAAATAAATAAATAAATGACAGAGAAGCAAATGATAAAAATCAAGTGCAACCGAAATTCCTGCGGGGCGGGGGGAGGAACCTCCCGCTTCTCAGCAGCTCCTCGGGATTCACATACATTCCCAATTCACCTACAATTCCACCCAGAGATATTAGCCAAAGAGGAGATTTTTTATTTCTTAAGGAAACAAGCCAATTCGTCATTTTTCCTTTTTCATCCTGAAATAAAGGAATGCCTAAATTCTCTCTCTAACGTGTTAGCACCGGTGGCCTTCGTCGTATAAAAATCAGCATGGCCAAGCAAATGGCACATTTCATAACACCGAGGAGAAGTGCTTTCTTTAAGCTCAAAATACCTTGCCTAATGTTGTCAAAGTTGACAAATTTTCTGAATGAGCTCCAAAAAGCTTCATTATGAGGCTATTTCTGCTCACATAATCGTCAGTGGATGCTCTAACGAGGTGGAGACGTCTTTCTTTTCTGTTTGCCTTTTTTTTTTTCAAGTTTGCACGGAAATATCTTGGCAATACGCGTGCAGTCACTACAGCCTTTCAGGAAAAAAAAATACCGCCAGTGCGTTGGTATTCCTCTGTCTGCGCAACGCAGCACGCACGCGAGCAGCAGCAACAAAAACGAGAGGGTACTACAAATGCAAACCACCTCAAAACAGTGCCAGGTACGGCAGGCGAGACAGAATGCAACTCCTAAACAGTTAATCAGTCTGACCTTCTTTAGCTAGCTGCCAATTTCACATTTAATGAACTTAAAGCCACAGAGAATCAAAAAATAGATTTTAATTTGACTGCACGATATTGGAACTGATTTTGATAAAGTGCAAAAATCCAGTGAACTCAGGTTAAATTTATTTCAACCCTGCCTAGGCTGAATGTTGAGGAGGAAGATCTGGAGTAGCTCCCAGTTGTGCTGCGTGAAATAATATTGAAAGAGCACACTACCTCACCGTACCTTAGCTCCAACTAGGACACAGGGATACAGTCCGTAATTTCTCGCCTCTGGTACTACTTCTAATTTAACGTAAGGTCAACCACAGGAATATGAAGGTTACGTTCGTATTAATAACAGCAATGTCTTAATCGCCGGGGTTTTCTCCTAAACTTGCAGCCCCAACGCTAGCGCTCCGGGGGCATCTCGGGCTCGGGCACCGAGAGGGGAGCAGGACGTGTCTGCAGGATTTCTGCGCGTGGCATTTTTCTCCCCGGCCATTCCTTGCGGTCGGACAGAGCGAGTAAATCACTGCAGGACTAATTCCACCAGTAGCTCGCCACACGCATCAGACAAAGGTATTTGGGGCTAACCGGTAAACGTAACTTCTGGCTTAGCAACTCTCCACAGCGAAAGACGCCAAATAAACAACATTCCCCTTACAGCTCGCTTAGCGAGGAGCCCTGCATAATCATTACTCAATTATAATGTTTTCCCGTGGCCTGATTTATTTCTGACACTGTCAGTATTATTTAGCAGTGGAAGGTAACGCAGCGCTTAGACACCAGACGGTTAAAAGTAGGGCTAAACAAAAATAGACTTTGCTGAAGTCTGTAGTGACTGGGCTGATTTACAATCAAAACCAGGAAATGAAGTGGTAATTCAGAGGTTGCTGATTACACCTCCACATTTCACCTAATTAATTTTATAGGAGGCAAAGTTCTTGAAAATAACAAGATGATCAAATGTACAGATATAAAACCTGTAACCTCAACATTTTCTATGCTCTTAACGTAAATTATTGCTAATTAACAAGAATTATATACTAATGTATGAAATACGGCTGGCACCGTCTTCACTGCAAAACATTTGGCTCCCGATGGAGGCAGAGCCAGCAAAATACGGTTTTATTCTCACTGCTACTTTCCCAGAAAGCGAAAAAGAAAGCAAAAACCGCCGTGTGCGAAGAAAGCAGGGCAATGCGATTCACCTGGTCTGGGCAGCGCTCCGCGGGCTGGGCGTTTTAATTCGGGGGCAAGCCAAATGCCCTGCCTGGCTACCTAACGGGTCGGGGCCGTCTCTAAGGCAAAGCGCTCTTGCAGGGTCGTGGCCCCCCGGCTCCCCCCTTCCTCCTCTCTTCCTCCCCGGCCCCAGCCCCCCAGGAGCACGGCGGGCACTGGAGGGGCTCGCCCGGCCCGACAAGTGCGGGGAGAAGGGGAGCCGCGGCTCGGGGTGCCGGGGCCGGCTCGGCACGGCTCGGGAGAGCGGGGAAGGAGGGCGGGGGGGGGCGGCCTCGGCCCAAGTTTGCTTTCAAGTGCGGGGCGGCTGGGGGGCGAGGCTGGGGGCGGCGGCACGGAGCGGGCCGGGGGAGCGGGGCAGCGGCAAACTCGGCGCCAAAGTTGCCCACCTCCCGCCGCCCCCAAAAACCTCGCATTTATTTTTATTTTGTTTAAAAAGCCGGGGGGAAGATGGGGGGAGGGGGGGGCGCGGAGAGCCAGCGGGGGCCCCGCGCAGCGCCGCGCGGCTGCGGAGCGGCCGGGCCGCCCCCGGGAGGCGGCTGCGGGCGGGCTCGTGGCTGGAAGCGGCCAAACTCGCGAACAAAGACGAGGGGGAGAAGGGGGAGAAAGGGGGGGGCAAGGCAGGGGAAGGGCCGGGGCGGGCGGCGAGCCCTCCCCCTCCCGCCGGCTCGGCCGCGCTGCGGGCGCGGAGGCGCCGGCCAGGTTCAAGTTCGCCGGGCGGCGGGGGCGTTTCTGGTGTCGGTGTGCCTCCTAGCGACTGAACGGCACAGCCGTGCCGAGCCGTGCCGAGCCGTGCCCAGCCGCCCCGCTCCGCCGCTGCCCCCCCCCCGGCTTCCCCCTCCCCGCCCGCCCCCCTCCGGAGCCCCCCCCCGGGCCGCCCCGGCCGAGCTCCGCAGCCGGGCGGGGGCTCCGCGGCCGCGCGGGGAGCCGGGGGGCTCCGCGGAGCCGGGCTGCCAAAGGGGGGGGGGTCTCGCCGGTGGCACCCCCAGGGAGGGGAGCCGCGGGCATCCCCGGGCGGGGAAGGGGGCCCCCGGTTCGGGGAAGGGGGCCCCGGCAGCCCGGTGGGGGTGCTGGAAGCGCAGCGCTGAGCGGCGCCGGGCAAAAGATCCGGGGAGCGGAGGGGGAACGGGAAAAGGGGGCCGGGGGCTGCGGGCGAGCCCCGGCGGGGAGAGGGCAGCGTGGGGAGGGGGGAGCGGCCCCCGGGCGGCCCCAAGGAGCCGCGGCGCTTCGCTAAGGGGCTGCGTGTGCCGCGCTGGCCGCCAGCCTCGCCGCCGCCGCCTGGGAGGGAGGAATCGCCGGGCAAAGTTTTGCAAAAGGCGAGAGCGAGCGGGGCTCGTTGGCAGCGAGCGATCGCCCTGGGTTTTCTGCCATCCCTGGGAGGGAACAAAACCCGCCAGGGATAATGGGAGAGAGAGAAGGGGAGAAAGGAAAGCGAGGAGGAAGGAGGGAAAAGGAGCCGCGAGAAGCATGCATCGCGTCCCCTTCCCCCCAGCTCACCCCGAGGAAAAGGGGATTTTTTTTTTTTCGCCCTTCCTTCCCCCCCCTCACCCCAAACCTTGCCAGCTCGAGTTGCCTTTTGTTGTGCAAAGAGCGCTCCCGCTTATCTTGCATCTAGCCCTGCCGTGTGTTGTGTCGGCTGCGGGGAGGGAGCCGAAGAGTTTTTGTTGCGAACAGTGTGGGGGGGCTCGGCTCGGGTTTTTTCTCTCCCGGGGAGAGGAGATTTGGTTTGGGGTTTAAATGCGGCGGCGAGCTGGGCGGCCGCGGGTGTGCGAGGAGTGTGCGAGCGGGTGTGCGAGCGTGAGTGTGCGTGTGTGTGTGTGTGTGTGTGTGTGTGTGTGTGTGTGAGTGTGTGTGTGTGCGTGTGTGAGTGTGTGTGTGCGCAGCCCGGGCTCGCTCCTGCCTGTGTTTGTTGGCAGGAGGTTCCCCGCACACGCGGTGCTTGTAAACATTCAGACACGAGATTTTTCCCAATCAAAATCCACTTCCACTTTTTTTTGAAAATCTTCCAAAAAATAGTAAGCGAGCGAGGGAGCGCGAAGCCGAGGGCGAGGAGGGAATCCCTGCCGGCTCGCCGCTGCCGCCCGCCCGCCCGGGGGCCGCCCCCCAGCCCCAGCCCCAGCCCCAGCCCCAGCCCGAGCCCGAGCCGGAGCCGCGGCGGGGCGCGGGGCGAGGTCGGGGCGGCGGAGCCCCGGGGCGGCGCGGAGCGGAGCGGAGCGGGGCGGCCGTCCCGCACCCCGCGGCGGAGACAAAAGGCGGCCGGCCCGGCTCGGCTCGGCTCGGCTCGGCTGGGCGCCCGCCCTCGCCCCCGGCCCCGCCGAGGGTACCGCGGGGCGAAGGGGCGAGCGGCGGCGGCGAGCGGCGGCGGGGCTCGGCTGGGCTCGGCTCCGCTCGCCGGACTTTCTCCCGGCCCGCAGCCCCGTCCGCGGTTCCTCGGGGTTCCTTTGGGTTCCTCTGCACTTTCCCCGGCTCTGCCCCCGCCGCCAGCCCGCACCTGGCCCGCGCGGGGCGGCTCCGCGGCGGCTGCGGGGAGAGGGCGCGGGGGGCAGCGCGGCGGGGGCCGGGGGGGCCGGGGCAGAAAGAGGAGAAAAGTGCTCAAGGTGATCGACCGAGGGCGAAAATCAGCGGAATGCCAGTAATTCCGAGCCGGCGCCGAGTTCGTTTCACCTCCTCGCTCGCTCCTCGCTCGCTCTCACTTTTTTTTTTTTTCTTTTTTTTCTTTCTGCTCTCGCTCGAATTAAAAATTAAATCCGTGAAGGGGAAATGAAATAAATCGCTCTCCGGCTTACTTACGTGAAAATTCCCGTTTGCTTAAGTGCTGGGGTTTGCCTTGCTTGCGGCGCGACATGGTGGGTTGGTGGCTTCGGTGGCTTGTGAGTCGCTCGGTTCACATCGGGAGAGACGGGTTAGAGAGGAAGGAGACTCCAGAGAAAATATCTTCATCAATGTCTTTTGACATCCAAAATAAATTAGAAATAATACAAAGATGGCGCAGGGAAGATGAATTGTGGGATAGCAGTCATGGCTTTTTTTTTTTTTGTGCAAGGAAAAAAAAAGAGAGGGAGAGAGAGAGGGAGAGAGAGGGAGAGAGGGAAGGAGAGAGAGAGAGAGATGAAAAAAATGGCAAAAGCCCCCCTGAGCTGCAAGTTCAAGTGCGGACGTGACGTCCCTGCGAACTTGAACGTCAGGAGCCTGGATGGACAGAGACATACAAAACATGGGCAGGGCAAGCCGGGGAGAGGGGAGGAGGGAAGGCGAAGGCAACACCAATGGACACTCATCAGGGGCTGGACATGAAAAAGAGACCAGGACAAGCCAATGGACAGTGATCGCAGGGGGGAGAGGGGAGGGGGCGCGGCGGGAGGGGGTGCGCCGGGCGCCGGGCGCACGCTGCCGGCGGGAGCCGGGGGGAGCCGGGGGGCGCCGGGGGCCGGGGGCGGGGGGCGGCCGGGGCCGCGGGGCGGCTGCGGGAGGGGAAGGGGGAGAGGGGCGGCGAGGGGCCGGAGCGGGCGCGCGGGGAGCGAGGAGGCAGGAAAGGGAGCAAGAGGGGAAAGAAAGAGCGAGCGAGCCGAGGCAGCGGCAGCGCACACGCTCCCACCCCCGCTGGAAAAGCAAACACATCAGGGAAGGCACACGGGGAGGGCGGCGGGGCAGGCTAGCCTCGGGATGCGCCGAGGAGGTGGGAAGGCAGGTAGGAGCGGAGACCACCCAAAAAGGAAGGGGGGGCCCAGCCGGCTCCCGGCTTCCCCGCTCGCCCCCCCCCCCACGCCCCCCCGAGCCGCCGAGTCCCCTCCTCCCGGGAGCCGGGGCCCGGCCCCGAGGGACGGCGGCGGCGGGGAGCCGGGGGGCTCCGGGGGCCGGGGCCGGCGGCAAACTTCGGCGGGGAGCGGCGGGCCGGGGAGCCGGGAGGACTTAGGGAGCGAGGAAGAGCGGGCGGAGGAGCGGCGGGAGCGGGGCAGGGGGCGGCAGGGGCCGGGACCCCCCGGAGCCCCCCGGCGGCGCCCCGCAGCCCGCCCGCCGGCAGAGCGGCGAGCGAAAGCGAAAGGCGCGGCCGGAGGCGGCGAGAAGCGGCCGGAGCCGGGAGGATGCGGCGGCCGCAACTTCGCCCAAAGCGCGCCCGCACCGCCCGGGGCCGGGCCCGCGGCAGGAGCCGCTCCGGAGCCGGCCGTGCCCGCGCTCCAGGCCCGGGGCCGGCCGGCCGCGGCAGCGAGGTGGGCGCGGGGCGGCGAGGAGGGGCCGGGGGCCGGCGGCGGGGGCGCGCCGGGACCTGTTGGAGCCGGCCCGGGGGGGCCCCGCTCCGCGCCGGGGCCGTCCTCCCGCGGCGCCGCCGCCCCCCGGCTGCCCCGAGGCCGGAGCGGGGCCGGGGGCGGCCGGGCAGCGCCCGCCGGGCGCCGCGTTTCGGGGGGAAGCGGCTCCGGGTGGCAGCGGGCGAGCGCTCCGGGCTGCGGGGCTCCCCGCGCCGCCGCGGGGCTCGGCTGTCGGAGCTCCGCGGCCATGTGCTGCGCGCCCGGCGCGTGTAAACAGGCGTGCGGGACCGTGCGGAGAGCCGTGCCGTTTGATTTATCTGTAATAGCGCGTATAAAGCTTTTCAAGGTGGCTGCAATGTAAAAAGTAATGACTTTATTACCTCTGAAAGGTTCTGCGGTTCACGTTTAACAGTCCTCTGAATTACAATTCATTACACAGTTGCGCGCTCTCTAAAGCCAACATAGATCAGAATACCTAGCTGTGGTTATTTCCAATAAATAACAGGCGACGTTTCATTGATTTTCTTTAAAAAATCGTAGCAAATTAAGCACTTAGTTACAACTAAATCTGCTTTATTATTGTACTGCGTGCGAGATTCCAGAGGTGACTTCCTCCGGCACGTCTTCAAACATACATTCAAAAGCTAATTTTACAGATGCTTTCATGAATGGCAGCGAGGATGTTCCTACCATTAGCGTGCCCTTAATTCCCGCATCGTAAAATGCCTCGAATTAAATGGGAACTCGCTGCCTTAAAACAGTATTTCATCCGGGCTGGATAATTATTAATATTGGCGTTTGATCACAATAGTGCTGCGCTCCCCCGCCGCCCCCCCGACACTTTGCATTGTCATGTGATTGGAGGGCGATAACAAACCTCAAGAAAGAAAAGGAGTCAGAAGACATTTTTAACGTGGCATAACCACAGATTAATAATGCAGGTGGGTTTTTATTTTATTGTATTTTTAGGGGAAGGGAACGAGGCTGTTTAATGAGCAGCCGTGGACACAAAGTAACTATATTTACAATCCTTGATGTGGCTTTTGCTGGGTAATAAATTATGACAATATTAAAATTATTTTCTGGCAGCCCAGTTAACTGCGCTCGGGACTGTAAAGCCCTTACTGATTCCATTTATGCCTTGTAATTACGGTCCACGGGCTCTCTCTAAACCCTTTGGTGTATATTGTGTGTAAACTTTTAGCTAATAGACCTTTTTTGAATGGAGGGACTTTTCTCAGTACTTCCTGCAGTATATATTCTGTCTCTGATCTCTGTGTTTAATGGCCAAGTCCTGGTTTATGCTTTATAATGTGTTGACAAGTTTTCTAACAGACTTTCTGAAATAATGCACATATATTCACGTCGGTTAGAAACTCCACAGTATTTTTAGAGTCGAGTAGATCTATATCCTAATGCACTGAGAGGGAGTGTAAATCATAGAGGATTTCATAGCCCTTTCAGTAGTTTTCTGTATGAAGTATGAGCAGCGTGGCCTCCAGACGTAACCTTTTAGAAAAAAAGACAGTGCTTTTATTTTATGGTGTAAAGTGCTTTTAGCTTCAGGGCTCTGAACGTGAATGTGGTCAACAAACAGCTCTTGCGAGGGACTTTGCTGCAGCCTCAGCCCCAGCGCTGGGGCGCTGCCTGTCTGCCGGCCGGCTTTTGGGGCCACCTCCGGCCCCAGGACGGGGCTGTCCCCCCCCCCGTATCCCCTTCCCAGCCCCCCCGGCAGCCCGCTCCTGCCTCCAAAGCCGGCACCGCCGCGGCTCGGACGCCCAGGGCCGCGGTGGCCCCCGGGGACCTGCCCGCTCCACATCGGGGGGCTCCGCGCCGGGGGGCTCCGCGCCCACCCCCGGCGGGCCGGGCAGAGGAGCCCCGCTGGGCTTCCCTCGCCCCGGGGAAACGGGGAATCGGGGCTCCCGGCGATGCCCGAGGGGCGAGCAGCCGTGAGGCTGGGCCCCGGGGAGCAGCCCGGGGGGGCTGCGGGAGCAGGGACGATGCCCCCGCCGCCCCCCGGCCCCTCGAGGCGGTGCTGCCCGTGCCCCGGCCCCGCTCGGACGCAGGGAGCGTTTTCGGGCTTCTCGGCGCCTGTCACGAAGCGAGGGCACTGTGCTCGGAGCTACGCTACCGACCGTGGCGGCTCAAAACAGGTACAAAATATTCAAATGGTGCTAACGCCTCGAAGTGCTGGTGGGTGAGAAGGGCAAGTGAAAACAAACCCGGGCAAGCACCGAAGGCAGCCCAGCCATGGGGCTCTGCGGACTCGCGCAGACTTGTGTGTCACCTCCTGCTTCTCACCGCGACCTTTCCCTGCCCCGGCTGCGGAGGATGCCCCCCCTGTCCCGCTGCAGTGGCCTCAGCTGCTCTCTCCCCCAGCCGTCTTGCCCACTCCCATGCTACACGCTCCCAGCCCCAGAGCAAAGATGGGAAGACACGGCCGAGATGCTCGGCCGCGCATGGGCAGCTCAGAGGTAGGTGCTGGGCCAGGGTGGTGGTCGTGCTGCCGTGCAAGGGTCTGGCTCGCTAGCTGAGGGGCTGCCCCTGGGCTGTAGCCCCTCCAGCTGGCCCACTTCCATCTGTCCCACGCGGAGCAGAGCCCTGAGATATCTGCAGAAATTCACATCTCCCTCTCCTGATGCCTCAGTTCTCTCGGAGGAACAGCGTGGTCCTCCCTCCGTTCAAGCCTGTGAGATACTTGGAGGCTGCTGCCTAAAGGGACACAAACCCACCTAAAATTGGGAAGCGTGGCCTTCCTCCTTCTCACAGGCAGGCACACGGTCTTCCCGCACAGGACTGGGACCCGAAGGCGCAGAGGAGTGCGATGCAGCGCGTGCTGCACGCTGCTGTCCCTGCCTCTCTGCTAATTTAGCGACAGACTTGGCAGTGGGTGAGTTCAGCAACTTTGGTGGGCAAATGTTCCTGCTTTTAAGCTCCAACTGTCATTCATTCATGGCAGGAATCTCACTTGCCAACTCAGTACAGAACATTAGGACCAAATACAAATTCCAAAATTATGCCAGTTCTCCCGAGCTGTGCCGCGTTACATAACGGCCGATAGCACGGGGCGCTCTCCTCCGCCGCGTTGATAGTCTCAATCAGGCAGAGGCACTGTGGGTGGAACTCTTATCGCACCAGGCTGACTCCCCATGAATGAGCAGAGGACTTGCGCGTTCTAGAAATAGCATGTGCATTAGTATTGCACGATGAGGAACTTGGGCATGCTGCTTTCCCTCTTCTCTTTTTTTTTTTTTCTTTTTTAATAAAAGCTCAAAATAAACTGCAACCCAGCAAGCGCAGCACACACAGCGGCGAGTCCATGCAGGATCACAAACATATGAGCGCCAGGTGACTGAAAGATTTCGTTACAGGCTGCTCTAGGCAGGACCCAGAATAAAATGCTGAACTTGAGGAGAGTTTTTCCAGCGGTTACAGCACGGTCTGGGATCTCAGCCTGCGCCTGCTTGCACAGCACTGAGCACGACAGAGCCCCGAACCTTGACTGGACTTCTGAGGGGTGACAATAAAATGACCACACGAAGCACTCAGGAGGCAGACTTTCAGATACCAAACCCCTCCTTTGAAGTCTACAGCTCTGCTTGTGCACGCGCAGGCAGGGGAGGCACTAGCTATGCTATAAACAATGCCAGTAAAATCTCACTTTTAATCAAATGTTTAATTTCAGCCAAACCCCGGTGTTAGTTTTTCCTGCTCTAGAAGTTACAGCTAGCTTTCCGTTTTGTATCTTATTAATATTTGTGTATCTTCCTATAAGCGTGTAACATGCCCCTGACAGCTTGTATCCTACATTTTGAGCCAACATAATTTAAACTTTGTGCATTTAGAACTTGACCTATAATGCAAATCCATACAGTCTTAATTATAGCAGCACCAGCAGCCACTGTGCGAGCGAAATAGTCGAGCTTTCGTTACTGAAGAAGCACAGTAGTTAAGGTCTGTCAGTGTTCCCGTTACAATCCCCATCTTGAAGAGGTTATAACTCGGGCTGTGTAAATTTGATTGAGCTGAAACTTGGGACTCAAACTGTCAGTCCATATAGGGAATTATCTTATGAATAATTGGCTAACCCATTGCTTGATTCACAGACCTTTATAAAATGATTTTTAATGGGTTTTAATGTTTTTTTCTTTTACTGACATCTAGGGTATGAATTTGGTACTTCTAGCTTTTTTGAAGCTCCATATTGAGCAGCATATGTATAGGTACATACATTAAAGCTCTGCAGCAACACACGGGGCACGCGTGCCACACTTCCACGTCTATGTGTACACATATACAGATGAAGACACCATGTGAGAGAAGTGCCGCTTAATCTATCTCAGAAGAGAGTCCTAAACGTGTAAGATAAAGAGAACAGAACTCCCTCGGACAGAAGGGCACTAAAGCTCCTTGAAGTGTTCCTCAGTCCCGTTGTGATCCACCGCTAGTGTAGCAGCAGTCAGGCGGATTTACACCAGCATGGTGTCACTGAACCAGCAATCCGAAATGCAGTCCTGGTGCGCTCCCACACGGGGAGCGGGCTACCTCGGTTATCTCCAGATGCAGTGGGGATAGCTGGGGACAGGTCACTTTGTTATCTTTGTTAACAGTTTCTCAGAATCTTTCATCTCTGGGGGCTTTTTCTTCCCCCAAGGCATGTGGAAGTGAGTCCCACATGTGCCTTGGCATCAGAACAGTCGTCATGATTGCACTTTGAAAGGGATGAGCCATTTCACTTTGAACACTGAGCTTAAGTATGGCTTTGTGTTACAAAGAATTTTACTGAGAGTTGCTCTCCGTAATGCTTCTCACTAGTTTTAAACTTCTGTTGCTCAGAGAAGGTTATCACTTCAAATCACACTCAGCTCGTGAGGCTGTGGACTTGGAATTTTTCTTAACCCTAGAAGAAAAAGATGGCAAACCCAGAGCTAGGAAGATGAGCCACAGTCCTTGAACAGATTGCTCTAATGGAGCCAGACCCCACCAAGTCCATGCCCACCTTGCTGAATGGTTACAGAGCAGGGACACCGCCCTTGGAGTCATTCCTGAGATCCCAAGTCATCCACTTACTGAAGCAGGTTGCTGTCCTCAAGCTTATGAGCTGTAAGGAGAACATAGCATTGACACAAGTGTCTTTTGGACTCGTTTTCTTTCTGACTGCAGCTGCTAGATTTGGGGAGATCCCTAGCTAGCCCAAGGTAAAGAATGATGGCCAATTCAGGCCACTGGCGTAGAGCACATGGCATGGATGGGCAAGGCTGCCAGCCAACTCCTGGTGAGGCTCTCAGCAGAAAGAAGAGGTGAGTCTGGCTGTGTGCAGCTCTGCCCTGGGTCTCAACTTCTTGCAGCTTTCCGAATGGACAGAATTAACAGTGCCTGGTGTTGGGGCACGCCAGAAAGAAGTTTGTCTCCTGGTTCCAGCTCACTGTGAGCCTGGTACGTGATGGGCACTGGCTGCGGGCACCACCGTTACATCTGTATGTATGTATGTGTGTGCACAGTGCTCCCACAAGTCAGCAGGACTGTTTATAAGAGCAGCACGCTCAACAATGGCACAGTCGCGCCTCATTGCCAAACGTCTGTTAACCAGAGGAGGCATGGGGAGCTGGGCAGAGCTGGTCTGAGCCTAACCAAATGAACTATGTGGGGCATCTGATCTTTTTACATAGCCATTGCTTATGAACAAGATTTTCTCAGGATCATTTGGAGAAGCTTTTCATGCTTCTGTGCAAGATCAGACCCAAGGGGCTCAAGCTCTCATCATCCCCATGAGAAAATCTGGAAAGCTCCACTCTGGATGTGGCAGGCAGGAAGAAATGGAATTGCAAACATTTTGTCTTGAAAAATAAATCCAACTATACCTCAGTTGAATCAAATAAGAATTGTAGAATAATAAAAATAATTCATTAAACTGAGGCACCCAATGCAAGCAACGGCAATCAAAAAAAGGTAGTTCCATTGAGAAATTAGTTTTGCTACACAGGATGAGGAAAGATTTAGTCCCTTCTACTTCCCAGCACACTTGGCTTGAGTGACAACAGGGAAGGGTAGTGCAATAGAAAAGGATTTCCCTCCTCTAATCCTGCTCGATATATTCCCCCTGCCAGAGGAATCTGCTTGGCCTTGGGTACTGCAAAATTCTTAAGCATATATTTATCTTTGGGCACATCAGCTGTACTTCCATGCCTAAAGTAAGCATGTGGTCAAGTATTTTGTTAGCCTGGTGCCTCACCATCTTTTGGAAGCAACTTTTATTACGTTGATTTTTACAGCTTCAACTTTTAGTCACTAAGAATGTATTTAACTGAAGTTTAACATACAGATTCATCATTCTCTGTATTAATTTTGTACTACTGTTTCAGCTGACATTTAGTTTTAGCTTTTAGTTTCAGCAAAGAAGACGTGCACATGCTTTGCAGAACATGGTACAGTTTGTGTGAGGATCTAGATGAAAAGAAAGAATTAATTGTTGAGATAGCAGAGATCTTCTACATTCAAAACAAAAATAAAAACAGCATCACTGTGGGGGGTTTCTTCTTTGCCATATTTATCCTGTGCAACTCTTTATGTGCAAAATTTCAGCTTAATTGTTAGAATGCTTACAATAATATTTTAATGCAACTCTCTGTAGTCAGGCTAATATATTATTACATAGCCCAGAGCTGCACAGAAAGCTGCAGTGCTGAGGCGTAGCGGGAGCGGTGGTGAATAACATATGATAAGAGCGCGCTTCTTTGAGCAGTTTGGATAGTTTTGCCACCATTTGTTATTGTCAGCACATATAATTTTTACAGTACGGTATGAATTCTGACTGCAGTCAGAAAAACGCCTTCTACCGCCAGTATGAATAAGATTTCACTCAATTAGAATAACATGCAAGGATATCATACGGCACTACATAGAAAGCTGACATGCATTAAGTATGAATGCTGGGGCTGGGGGGCGGTTATTGTACTAATGCTATTGTTCAGTGAGCAACTATTCCCCAGCAGATTAAAAAAAAAAAAAAAAAAAAAAAGCGAGGGAAATTAAATTCAGCAATCAGAAATATGTACGATGTTTGATATCACCATGCTGAAATTAATGTATTCACTGATGAAACTTTGCTGTGCCCTATCGCGTTACGTCTCGCAGCATCTGTGTGCCCAGAGTGAGAGAAGCAGAGGTAAACACAGAGAGAGACCCACAGACTAAGAGTAAATGCCGGCTGTTTCACGGCACCAGTCTTTACATGTAAATGCTGCTTCCCACTGGTGTTGGTGAGCCATTTGGTCTGAAGGTGGCCGCACCAGTGCAGTCCATCGCCATCATGTGCTCCCCAGCACCCCAGCGGTGTGATGCGCTGCGACCCCCTGCTCCTGGACACCCTGCGCAGCTCTGAGCAGCTCCGTGGCACCTGAAGCAGCTGAAGGTATCCGATGCGTGGGGACAGATGGGGACCGTCCCCATCCGTGACCGTTCCTGCAAGGAAGGGCAAAAGTGCCCGGGAGCCGAGGTGTATCTCAGAGAGCCATTGTACTCAGAGGCAATAAAAATAAAACTATTCTCAATTGAGACCTAATTAGCTTTTATATTCAAAGCTGTACTGCACATTTGTATGTTGCTTATGAGTGGGACTAAAAAATATATGTACCATGACACTATACTTTTAAAGAGTCTATTGAATGCGTTTCCCATTCTCCAAGGATTGCCTTCTCCTTGGATGTATACATTCAGTGAATATGACGAGGCTAATTATTTTTCCCTGAAACAATCGCTGCATTTCTCTGGCAGTTTGCACCAAATCATGGACCTCGCATCTTTGGCCTTGGAACTTAAAATAAAACCAACCCTGCCTTCCAATCCTAAAACAAAAAAAAATGTTTGGTAAACAAATTGCCTGCCCCGGGCTTTACAAGGATCGCTCTTGTATCAGAGCCACCATGCACGTCTGATCCCTTTTCTCCATTTTTTTCGAGGGGGTTATATATTTTTCTGTTACCTTTCCTGCCTGCGAAGCAATCAGGGAGAACGGCAGGAGGCACCATCAATATGCAAATTGCCGCCAGATAACTGGTCTCGCTGGTTCCGCCTTGGGAAGCAGCAGCGCCGCAGGAGGGGTCCCCGGGGCCCGGCCGCCCCCCGTGCCCCCCATCCCACCGCATTGCCCTCCCCACTGGTAGCAGCCACGGAGGTGCTCGGCTGCCCGTGGCGTGGACACCGCTCCTTCCGTCCCACTGCTGCACCAGCCCGTGGCTCCCACTCGCACGCGGTCTTTCATGCTTTGCGCTTCTACTCCGAGGTTGGTTCAGCACCCCCAGCACGGCCCTGGAAGCGCAATGTGGCTTTGCTCCAAAGGCATCCAGAGCCACCGCCTTCGTGCCACCACCGCTCGCCGAGGCGCAGGCTGGCAGGACCGTGTCGTCCCTGCTGGGTGGCACCGGGCAAAACCCAGCGGTACCTGGGCGTGGATCTGTGGCCTGAAACACATGCTCAGGGCCTGTCCTTCCTAACTCAGCATTTGAGGGATTAAAAGCAAGCACTGGTTTCCAAATTAAAAACATGTTAAAATGAAAGTTTAATTCATGGTTAAACGCTTGCAAAAAGTACACGAGGCTGTTTTAAAAATCACAGAGAGAAAACACAATCTTTTGTGGATTTGGGGTTTGCTCTGTTCTTAAATTCAAAACAGTGCTGCTCACTGCACTAACATTTCACAGGGCATTCGGCAAGACCATGCACCGGGCATCTGGGTATCTGTGCAAACACCCAGGTAAGCAATACCATTCATATGCGTTCAAACATGCAGCAAAGTTAACACAGAGATTCCTATCAGTATGGCGGGAGCCCCATATAACAGAATAAGCCACATTTCACACCTGTGATGGTCTATTGAATACGTAATATGCATTTTAAAAATTGCCTGGAAATGTATTCATACGGCAAAATCTAATGGTTCAGGCGGAGCTTTTATTCTTGATCAAATAATAAAAATTGTTAGAGATCACTCTGTCATCTCATTGCTCGCCAGCCTCCACAAAAACTGTTTTACGTTCCTATTTAAACAGGAGAGCGAGAAGGAAAACATAAACCGCAGAAGAGTTACTACAGATATTAACTTTTAAGCCAGAAAAGCAAGACAGCTGAAAGAGCGAGCAGGGGAATTGGCTCCATCACTCCGCACCCGTCTCGGTTTCCTACAGCTGAAGCCCCTGGACAGCAGATCGCATCAGGACAAGGTTGGGCTCGCCACGCACCAGAGGATGACTTGGGCGAGGTGTTGCCACTCCGCCTCTGAGGTCCCTTCTTTCCGCGCGTGTAGGTCTCGCAGGGAAGGAGACTTAGTGTGGACGGACGGGCACAGGCTGCAGACAGATCCACCTCCGCGTGGGACGGAGTGGGTGGCAATGGCCTTGGCCATGGAGAAGGAATCTGAACTGCAGACTAGTAACGGCAATGGTGATTACTATTAAAGCTCAAAGCTTTTCATTACTGAAAACTTCAAATAACTCTCCTGAACTATATTTGAGCCATTTTTTTCATGTTAACTCCAGGTTTGATTGCTGGAAAAGGTTGACTGCTAGAAAAGGAAAACCAGTGCACCGCACAGCAGTTGGGAATCGAAGCCCTTCTTTACCAGAACCCCTGCCACATACGTACTGTCACTCACCTTCCAGACACTCAGTACAACCATTCAATCTATTGAATCAAGAGACTGTTTGATCTTATCTGCATCTGTGAGCTGACTGTCAACCTGCTTAGGCTGCATATTAAATCATCTATAGTAGCTGTATCAAGCTGGGATGATCTGTTAATTCTAAATTTATTAACCCTTGGAGTGCAGTCATCGTGTTTAATCTAGTGTAGCCAGCATTTATTTTACAAGACTAAATCCTTCTTTAAGATATGGCTGTGCAGTAGGTTAAAGAATCATTAATGTGTAGGAGATGGTAATTGGGAAGAGCTGACTTTGATCTTTGGAAGCCAGCTGACAGCATCGCTGCTCCAAACACACACGTGTGTGTGCTGGCGTCACGCTCGCGTGTCCGGCGTGCGGGGTGTGTGCACGTGTACGCACCTGACCGCATTTCCTCGCAGAAAGAGTTTTGCCTGAGCCCAGGAAGAAGAGAGGCCTCGAACAATGCCTTAGCCCCGCACCACCACGAAGACTTCAAATCGAGATCTACGTCGCGGCACAGCACAGGCAGGGAGACTGCAGGCAGGGTGCTGCAGGGAGCGAAGAGCAAACCTCTCCTCCGAGCCTGCTCCTGGTCTAGACCCATAGCTGCCCTCCAAACCAAGTGCCACGCATCCGCAGAGCGCTGCGGGCTGCGGCCACCGCAGGACTCGCAACAAGTCGAGTGCTGCTATCTGCCTGCGTACAAATGCACCCCCTCCCAGACACAGACGCACACACAAGTAATTCTATATAGATATATACATGCAGATAAATATGTTAATCTGTTCGTTATACACACCCAGCCTTCCCTGCCTCTCTCCCCTGTTATCTATTCTACTTGCACGTTGCCGATGGTATCAACATATTCACAGCTTTTATTTCAGTCACAAACTGCTAGGCATGCTTCCTTTTTTGGTAATCACGTGCCTGGTATCTCTCTAATGTAGCCTAATAACAATTTTAGCATTCAGATGAAGCGATTTCATTCTGTGACTGCCTTTTCTATTAGATTTGATTCTGAGAAGCCCCAGTGGGTGCCTCCGAGGCAGAGATCTATCTGTGAGGCTGCAACCGATTCAATAGCAGCCTGAGCTAACCTTGACCTTTCCCTAGACCCTGCTCCATCTGGTGCCAGGCTGGTCCCCCCCTTCTCCTCCTCCTTGCTTCACAGTCAGCATTGATCAAGGCGGAATCGAGCGTCTCTCTCCCTCCAAGGGCTGGGCAGTCGCAGGAAGGACAGCACATTTCAATATATGGAAATGATCAAGCCTCTTATGCAATCATAAATCTACATAGAGGCTGGTGATTTGATATTTCATCCACCTCCACAGATTCTCCCCCTCCCTTCCTCCCCCCAGCAGGGATTTATAAACTATAAGACAGCGGCTTTCCCCAACACCTGGAAATTATAAAGCTGGCTGTTTATTGGGAATGAATGCCTGGCGATTTGATCTGATTTACTTGGCGTTTCATTTATCTGCTTGCAACTCACTCCGTTGTTTTCCCGCGTCCTTGGGTTACGCGTGCCCCCCCCGTTCTTTCTGCCGTTTCCCCCCGTTCGGGCGGTGGGGGTGTTTTGGTGCTGCCGCAGGCAGGCACAGGGCAAGCCAGGCTGCTCACTGCACACCCGAGCCCCGCTCCGTACCGGGCACCGAGTGCCGGGGCACTGGGGTGCCTTTCGAGCTCCGGAAACGAGCGGAGGCTCCTGCGATAAATCAGCGCTCGCCACTTCGCCACTTCCCTAGTTCTGCTTCGTTTTCTTCCTCCCTTCCCGGCGCTTGGCTGCCACTTCCCGTCTCCCTCAGCCCACTGCACCCCGAGGGTTTCCACTTCCGTGCCCCCACACCCCTGCAGGGCACATAGCTCTGCGGTGCTCGGCTCGCTGCTGGTGCTGCTTGCGGGATGCTGTTCTGTGCACCCCTCTGTGCCCCTCCGCACTGTGGGGCTGACCACGGCTCCCCGAGCCACCTCGGGCCCTGCTGCAGGCTGCCGGTGCCCCCGCAGTGACACGGAGCTTCGGTGTGCTCCCGCGGGTGGGTGACAACAGGCAGGTGGCCAGCGCGTCCCTGCTCTCATCTGGTGGCTTCCCTACATCCCGGGCCAGCCTCTGGATTTACAGGCAGTGATTTGAGTCATTTTCCCAAGAATTCCTAACACTGCCACGCTTGCTCATCTCGTACCAGCCTTGAGATTATATAACAGATTATGTAAAATTATAATGACAATATAATATATGCACACGCTAATTATTATATATAGTTTCCTGCATATATATAGTCAGGCACGCACCACATGTGCTAAGAGTCACTTCTGTAACACTCGCACAGCCAGAACTCCTGGCTGCAGATACGGTGTAGAAAAGGAATGGTTAGATATTTGGCAGTACATATGTATAAGAGAGATGTATTATTTAATCGGAAAAGGTATCTGGAAATGTCTTTCCCTCGCTTTGAGGAATTTGTTGTGCTTTATCTCCACGGCTAGTGAAAAATAATAGAAAGAAACTGTGAATTACATTGAAAAAAAGATGTATGTTCAATTTGTCAGTTTAATATTACACTTCCTTTCTGCAATGTTACAAAGATTTAGAACATTTCCAAAATTTTCAGCTCTAATCTGTGTCTTGTGTAGTCTGAGGTTTGTTTGCAGGACCTGCCACCACATGCCAGCTAAAAATGAGTGTCAATTAATAATAAAAAAATATCTCTTCCTTACTTCTGCACTCTTACAACTTAACAGGTTTTGATAAAACTACTGATGCAACAGTGAGAATTTTCCAATTCCTGCAGTACTTACAGTTTTCATTCTACAGCACCAAAGCTTCCCAAAATAGAGCCACTGAATATTTCTTTTTGCTTTTCCCCACGGCAATCTACATATTATTGTTCACTTAAAATATAAAGAATATTCAGCGCTTTAAAAAGCGTGTTTGCTTCTACCAAGAACAGAGCTGATGGAAACAATCTCAAAACTAGACAGTTAGAGTAACTGCACTGTATTATTTGTGGCCTCCAAAATTAGAAATAATTTGAAACGAGAAGTAGGAGAGTTTTTAGCTAGTGTTTTCTACCACGTGAGAAGTAACCGAAAAACATTCACCCTCGTAACACAACAAAATTTATAAGCTCTTTTCTTTCTGAGCTACTTGAGCAATTGGGTAACCTCTGCAGAAATGCCTGAGTGTGGTTTGCTGTTTGAAAGCATATTGTACTTATTAATAAAATGTGAAATGGCTTAAAAAACAATTTGAGCTATGAATTGCCATCTGCTCAATGGGGGGGAAACAGAAAGTAACTGAATATATTTTCTCACCTTTTTTTTATAGTAACATAAACAACACTCCAGAATGCCATAAACTTTTAGCTGCACGAAAAGCATTTGTACAGTTCATCATGCCTTAGGTCAGGACTTTGTCCACGTTGTTAAACACTGTTTCTTTTAATTATCTGCAGAAGTCCCACAGTACTTTTTCCCCTGTTAAACAAGGTGTCCTTTTAAATTTCAGGGATTAAAAGTCTGATGCTGCGTTCCACATGATGCTCTGGAATCTCTCCCTGACAGCGCGCTACCCTGAGCTCTGTGTATGCATATGGGAAGTATGGGAAAAGCGGCATGTAGACCTTGTTCTGGTCTTCTGCGTGGGAGGGGAAGAGGGAAGGGTTTCTATTAGCCAGTTTTTATGCAGCGCTTTGCAGCACTGCTGTCCATCGCAAGAGAAATTCATCTTCCTTGTCCTCTCTCTGCCCCTGCCCCTTTTTTACAGAGAAAAACCAAGGTCACCAAGGAACCCAATGGGACTGCTTCCTCTGCTATGGAGTTCTGCCAGTACCAAAAGCACATTCCTCCAGTGCAAGCGACTCTGTGACCCCCAGGAGTGCTGTGGGGCAACGCTCTGAGACCAGCTCAAAGCGCAGGGAGGCCTCCCTCTGCCTGTCCCAGGAGAAAGGCAGCAGTGGCAGCGCCTGCCCCAGGCTGCTGGGAGCAGGGCCCCCTGCGAGCGCGCAGAGAACCCATCCCTCCCAACACCTGCTGCTCCCTGCGACGGGGCTCACCACACAAACACTACAACGGAAAGAACAAAATACCAGATTTTTTTTTTCTTCCTACTTAGCTGGAGTTATTTCTTTGCTGCCTTTCAGCTTTATGCACCTGGGAGCCCTGACTTTTATAACTTGTTTATCCTATTTCTTGCTCAGCTAACCTGCCCCAAACACTCTGCTCCTGCCAGCTGCAGACAGGAGAGAGCCTTTCGGGAGTGCACGGAGCCGTTCAGAGCAAGTAGCCAGGTTTGAGCACACGGAGGACATTGCAGGAGGGTGGTGACTTGCACTGAGTTTCACAGGAGCACGAGGGAGGGAGGAGCTGTGAGCTGTTCCAGGTCCGTCCTACAAGATGAGCACACGTTAAACAGTAACTCTGCAGTGCATCAATTGTCTTCGCGTGCCCAATGCCTGATGCTTTCTACTCTCCAGAAGGCTGATTTGTTTAGAGCACCTTTTAAAAATAACAACAGCACAAGGAGCAGCTTTTTTGCTCCCTTGGAATTTGGCAGGAATGTAGATACAACATATGGGAAGAGGGGAATCTAGAACTTAACAATAGGAAAGGCAAAAACAATGGCATAAAGATGGCCCACACCCCTGCACCCCTCACATTTTAATCTCCAACAGTGCACCCGTTAGGGCCGGGGACAGCAAAGTGCCTCGAGATTTATATGCAAAGCATGTGAGCTTATTGCAGGAGCGGTATCACAGCACACGCCTAGGTGCTCTACACCTCACATACATATTGCACCATAGCATTAAGATTCAAATCACCTGTCCTCCGTCACTAATAAAAATGAAATACATGAGTGGAAGTTTGAATACAGTGGCTTGACAGAGTATGTCATGTCGCACACAAGAAGAAGTGCTACGACTGCGTGATCTAAAAGTAGCTCCCCATTTCTATGGCAAAACATTCTTCTGTTTCAAGGGTGAAATGCATGCTGTGGGAAGAGGTAAGCCCAAACCCTTAAACCAGCTCCCGGGCCCCCTAAGAGCATAGCTTGACACCCAACCCTACAACAGGACTCACCACTACACTCAGAAAAACATACGGCTTTGTGAGACTCCCAGATTTTCTTGCTTACTTTCTTTTTTTTCTCCTTTTATGGTGTGCAGAAGCAAGCAAAGAGTCAAAGCAGTGCTGCATTTTGAGCAGTCCTTCCCCAGCAGAGAAGCTGCCACAGCAGAGCACCACCACAGAGGAAGTTGCCGATATTGGCGCATTAAGGGTTTGTCAGTGTTTCCATCCTAAAGCCTCTAGCTTAAGAGGCTTATTCTTGGCTATTAAAACATCTCCAGGCTGAGTTAGAGTGGGGGAAGGTAGTTTTATTTACTATTACAGGTGGGAAATCACCTACCCAGTTATTTATTTATTTTTAACCAGGTAAAGGTAGGAACAAAGGGAGTTTTATTGGTTTTAGAGGCTTTGTGTGGGTGTTCTTGTGTCATAGGAATGACAGAATCTCCCAGGTTATGGATCTGTAGCATGAAAAAAGGGACTTCAGAGATATTGTAAGGACACAATTTACATACCTGACTGATTTCCTTAAGCCATGTGGTTTTGTCACAATTACATGACAGCTTGGTTTGACAGCATGTATCAAATCCAAGTGCAGCCTAACTCCCAGAAAGCTGGTGCACAGTGCCTGCAGTGTCCTGCTCAACGTATGGTCCCTGCATCCCCGAGGTATTTGCTGGAGGCCTGGAGGGGCTCTCTTGCTGTAGCAGGAAAGTGATTTGGCAGCGTTGGCTGCTGGCAGGGGCTAAGATCTAGACCCTGCTGAGGCTTCCTGAGAAACAGTGCGTGGCCAGGTGGGTGAGCGTGGCTCATGGTTGCTGATGGGACCACTGGCTTTTTCAGCCTGTCCTGAGCTCGCTTCTTCAGGAAAATGGAAAGCCAGACAGACTTTAGGATGGAAAGTGT